TGCAAGAGGGGATGACTACCCTCCTTAGAACACAACAGGCTCTAGGGTCTTCTGCCACGCCCATCCCTGCAACTTTTTCACATTACTCATGTGCCTAGAAGAGCCTGCCAGTGATGGTGGCCCAGCTTCCCTTCTCTTGTCCTTCAGGAATGGGAAAGGAAATAATTCTTGAAGCCCAGCTGATTCACAATGTATTCCAATCCACTTTGCTTGCTTGTTTGGGGACCTGACTTTTTCCTTCGGAAAATTTTTTGAGGCAGCAGCCTGTGTTATATAGAATAATAATTCCATCATTATTCTACTTCCTGGGCCATGGGTGACTAAGTACAGATTTCCATATACGTAAAGGCTGCTACACAAGTGCCATACCCTCTAGCAGATCTATATAAATATTTTTAGTAAGCCATTGCCTGCTATTGAAAAAATTAAGTATAGATTTTTATATATAAAGATTAAGAATGAATACACAGTCAAAAGCTCAGCAGTTTGCACAGAAACAGCAAACCCCCAAAGGGACGTTTGCATAGTGCTTTTCGTTATGTTCACAACATTTATTCATGATCCTGGTAACATCCAGCTTTCCTCAAAAGTGAGGCACGTGTCCTCGAAAAAGCCCGGGTTCTGGAAATCTGGTACACTTTCAGTACTGCCAAGGAGACGAGAGGTCAACAGGGCTCCCGCAGCTTACTCAGTCTAGAGAGCAGAAAAGCTGGGAAGTCTTCAGATCCACCTTTGGAAACTTGGGGATGTTTCAAAACTTTTACCCTACTTTGGTAAGAAAGATATGTCTTTGGTTTGTTTGTTTTTGTGAAACAAATATACCTGAAAAGAAAAATTACTTCAAAGGGGCTCCCCAGAAACGTCAATGATGGGAGTATTTATACCACCAACATGGGCAAAGGCTACCCAGGCTCCTCTCACTCCCTTGCCTCCTCCCACTCCAATCACTTTAATCACTTACCAGTGCAGTTTCACTACCTGAAACCTTCACTCTCCAACCATTATCATCTTAGGTAGAGATTGCATTTCTGTATTTTGAGCTGTATTTTTTCCTTCATTATATCTGTCTACTTTTTATATTTCAGAGATTCCTCATAGTTTCAGATCCATCAAAGCTTATTATTATTTTTCTCATGCGATAATGGATTTATTTATTCATTTATTTTTACCTTTTTTCTACAATTGGAAGGGGTCGACAGCATGTACTCATATTGCCATCTTAAACTGTAAGTGTGATTGTTACTGTTTTTAATTTTTAATAATCTGCTTATTAAAATATTTTTCTTAAATGAAGGCTGATTTACTCATCCCTGTTTATAGATCCCCAAATTTAAATCATATATTTCAAATATTGCATTAGCTAACTCCTCCACCATAATCCTACTGGAATTTCAAAGAAAATATCATTGCAACCTTTATTTCTTATTCTTCCATGCTGAATCAATCAACAAATTTTTCTAAAAAATGCTGTTTGATGTTCAAGTTTTATTGAATGTACTTCTAATCTTTTAAAACAACTCCCTAATTGCAAGTCAGAAGGAGCATCCTTCTAAAAATAAATATTGGTAGCCACCCTGCAGATGCAAATTTTAAACTTACAAACACTTCATATTCCAGAGCTTTTCTTTTTTTTTATTATACTGTAAGTTCTGGGGAACATGTGCAGAACGTGTGGTTTTGTTACATAGATATACACGTGCTATGGTGGTGTGTTACACCCATCAACCCGTCACCTACATTAGGTATAAAATTGAAATGCTACAGAGAAGATTAGCATGGCCCCTGTGCTTTTCAAACTGGGAAACCATTTTTTGGAGTTCAAATGCTTAAATATCATTGAGAGAGGGAAGGGGAAAGACAACAGTGAAAATGAAAGACAGCAAAGTTAAGGCCAAGCCTATGAGAAAACAAAGGCAACTTCAAAGTAGAGCACAGCCTGGGAGATTTAAAGAAGAGAGGGATCACTTAAATTTAGGATTTTCCAGTGAGGCTAAATTGCAGCTATTACATTCTATAAAAGATTGGGAATATGAATGAATCCCCCTTATTTTAAAAGGGAAATCTTACCAGTGTACCATTATAAAGAATTGCTTCAGAACATTTACATAAAGTCAAAATGCCTTTTAAATGATTTCCAAGCTTAGAGAACTGTGTGTTTAGGATCAAATAACTACATTCTGGGATTTCAAGCATTTATAAAGACATTTGATTTTACCAAATATATAAAAGTTGATCTGATGGTTAGACACAGTTTTGTATATAATATAAATCCAAAATTATCTCTAACTTTAGGCAAAATTATCATGGAACCCATCTCTTTGGGAACATTATTGCTGTGTTTATGTTAAGTTTGAGTTTTGTGATATCCCTTTACATATACTTTAATAGTGTCAATAATTTTACTTTATGATATAGAGACATTCTAGGTTTTAATAGGCAAGGTCTTTATACCAAGAATATTAGGCTCATTTATTAGCATTCTCTTTCCCTATAACAAGGCAGGAGCAAAAATATGTGTTCTCAGTCCACAAAGAGAAAAGCAGCAAAAGCTTGAATGATATTCCTAGCAGAAGATCCAGTCTCTTATTTGATAAGTGCAATGACATAATTAATGTTTCAAATTAGGAAAAATATTCAGATCATTATTGTCTACATTTCTGTATATTTATATTTCAAATTTAATTGAAATCTAATTACCAACAATAAAATACACTTTTTTTTTACAGTTTTATTAGTTTTGACTAATTTTGACGCCAACATAACCTTCAAGATACAGAACTTTTCCAACATCCCCCAAAATCTCTTATGGCCCTTTGCAGTCACTTCTCCCCAAATCCCTACCCTAAGTAACCACTGACTTGACTTCTGCCATTCCAGATTAGTTTTGCCTATTACAGGATTTCATGCAAACAAATTCATACAGCATGTGTTTTTTAATTTTTAGCTTATCTTCCTCAGCACGCCATTTTTGAGATACATCCATTTTGTTATGTGCATCAGTGGTTTGTTCCTTTTAATTGCGGAGTAGCAATCTGTTGTTAGAATATTCCACAATTAATCTATTCATCTGTCAATGGTTATTTGGGTTATTCATAGTTTACAGCTATTATTAATGAAACTGCTAAAAACATTTGTGTACAATATACATTTGTGAGCATATGCTTTCATTTATCTTGAATAAATGCCTAGGAGTGGGATTGCTGGTGCGTATGCTAAGTGTATGTTTAACTTTATAACAAAATGTGAAATTGTTTCCCATTGTGCTTATATGTTTTTACAGTTGCAGAGTTAATATATAAAGCTTCAGCTGATCCACATCCTCACCAACACTCGATATTATCAGCCTTTTTAATTTTAGTCTTCCTAGGGATTATGCAATGGTATCTCATTTTGGTTTAATTTTTATTTATACGATTAAGATGTTAGTCATATTTTTGTGTACTTATTTGCCATTTACATACTATATCTTCTTTTGGAATTGTCCAAATTTTTTGTTCACCTTGAGGTGGAGTGTCAGAATTGTGTTGGAAGAATTCTTCATATACACTAGATGTAAATTTTTTGTCAAATATATGCACAGTAAATGTTTTTATCCAGTCTGTGACTCCACTGAAGGTTTTTAATTTTGATGAAGGCTGTGATGAGTTAAGTTACAACCCTATAAAAATGATACCTTGAATTCCTAACCCCTGATACCTCAGAATGTGACCTTATTTAGAAATAGGGTCTTTATAGAGGTAATCAAGTTAAAATGAAGTTACTGGTGTGGACCCTGATATATGATGGCTTATATCCTTATTAAAAGGAACAACTTGGACACAGATGCATCTAAGAAGAAGGCCATAGGAAGATGAAGGCAGAGATCAGGGTAATAGATTTACAAGTCAAGCAATGCCAGTGACTACCAGCAAACCATCAGCATCTAGCGAAGGACGTGGAACGAATTCTCCCTCAAGCTCTTGAAAGGAACCAACCCTGCTGACGCCTTGACCTCAGACATCTGGCCTCCAGAAATGTGAGGAAATACATTTCTGTTATTTAAATCACACAATTTTGGGTATTTCGCTATTAACATGAATTTATTACTTTTGTTCTGTCATGGTTAGGGCTTTTCTTGTCCTGGCAAATCTTCGTCTTTCTCAATATTACTAAGATTTACTCTTACACCTTCTTGTAGATCCATATTACTTTTGAATGTTACGTAGGCATACTCCACACATTTTTCCTATTTACTTGGTTTCATGTTTGAATTTTTAATGCCTGAGGAAGCTCTTGTTTCTTGTATAATTCCTAGAATTAATCACAGCTTTTAGTAGCAGTGTAAATATTTCAAGTGGCTCTGTGCCCATCTCTTCAAGTTTGGCTTGGGGCAAGTTTTATTTCCAAAAGGACAAGCCCCACTGTCCTTCTGGTTCCCTTGCTATTAAGTTGGAAATGGTTTTAACCGATGTTTTCATACCAATTATTGACTGCTCAGCACAGTCATGCCCAAATGCACTTAACCATTTCCATCATCCTTCTTCCACTCAAGGTGAACTGTTTATGGACAGGTCAGACATGTGTGGCTCTGGATAAATGTCCTAAAAGTGCTGAAGCAAGGAGATCCTTTTTCTCCTGGACACACAATAACGCCAAACTTCTCCATGGCCACACTAATACCCTTGTGCTCTACTTCCAGGAAGAACAAACCACCAACTGACCCACCTCTACTTTCAGAAATTCACATCTTCATTGGAAGTTATTCTTATGTCCTTTGTTCTTCATAGTTTGGAAAACAGAAGCCATCTAAGGCCATAAAAATGACTGAGACCATAATTTAGCAAATTTCCTCTATGAATCCTTCTTTTGAAATGAAAAAGCCAGCAATTGGTGCATATTGCCTGCTTGATTTTATATGACTGGACTACAAAATGTTTTCTGATTCCTGAAGCTCTGTTGTGCATAAGAGCCAAGACTTTAACATACTACCGCTGAAAACATCCTCCAGGTCAGCATCTTACCCTTGACTGACAGGTGTCTCCACGTCACAGTTGGCTCTGGTCTGCCAATAGCAAGACACAGCAGGGTCACACTGCTTCCCTCATTCACAGTGACGTCTGAGGAGATATTCATGATCTGAGGAGGAACTGTAAGGAAACAGGATAGAAGAAATACCTGAGAATAATTCTTTGCACTTAAAAGGAGGTGTTAGCCTACAAATTTTGTATAGCATGTTTTTATGATAAATATTGTTCGCAATAATAAATTTCAAGTTGCTTGATTCGCCAAAGATAGGGCCATAAACGTTTGCCTTGTACTTATGGTAGAAGGAGCTCTATATTATACCTTGGCGATAGCAGGAGGCAGATGTGGGAACACTGGTGGGAAGCAGAGGACCTGAGAGAGGGTGTGACTGTTGATTAAAAGGCGAAATCAAAAATATTCACAAAGCCTTCCAAGAGCTCCTGTTTATCCCCATGTTTATTGTTTTTAGTGGAATCAGTGGCGTAAGCTGATAACCATGAGGGACCGCTGTCCTCAGCCTCAAGCCTTCCCCAATATTGCACTCAAAATGCTGATAACGCTGAGTTAGTTACTATTTTCCGAGCATTGCAGACCCTTTTAAAATCTTTGACCTTGAACAGGTTGTTCCATCCTGGAATTATTTTGTTTCTCACTTATTTTAACCTGAAAATCCCTCACCATCCCTTAAAACACATCCTTTAAAACTCAGTGAAATTCTCTGACTCTCTTGATAGAGTTAGAAAATCCTGGATCCAACCAGCAATGCATGTGTGTCCTTACTACTACTGCAACCATGAGATTGTACTCCAAATTGTATTTTTTAAGTGGCATCATATCCTAGTGGTTAGGAGCAGGGTTCTGGATTCAGATAGACCAATGTTTCAATCAGCTTAATTCCTCACCTGCTACATGACCGTTAGCAAGGTGACCTGCCTTTGTCCCTTTGAGCTTTATTTTTCTCACTCGTGAAATGTGGATGATAGTAGTAGCTAAACTCACAACACAGTGAGTTGAGGTGAAATAACGGCTTAGCAGAGTGACTGATATAAAGTAAGCACTCAATAAATGTTAGCTCCTAAGATGACGATGACGACGATCATGATGATGTCAGGAAAAACATATTTCACAAACAACAGTTTTCCTCTCATGAGCCAGGACCATGCCCATGTACCCACAGCACTACAAATTTTAGCCTAAAATGACACCTGGTCTTACTCTCTCACCTCCAGGCCTTGATTCTCTTCAACTCAAAGGTCAGTATTGGAAAACGCCCAGATTCCTTCTCACCTCTTATTTATCACCACCACTGTCTTGGTTGTTTCTCACCAATTTTCACAGATAATTGCAGTAGCCTCCCACCGGGAACCTTCCACCTGGCCTCTTTCCATTTTGGGGTCCCACCAATCTATTCCCTACACATAGCCAGAGCAATCTTTCCAAGTAATCATGGAATCAAACTTCTCTCCTCCTTACTCATTTACCCCAGAATGGCCCACCACGTTTAACAAACAAACCCTTCTGCATGACCTGAGCTCTCTGGAGTCGAACCCCCAAACCCACCAACAAACCTCATCTCAGGCCCCGTTTCCTCTAACAAAGCACATGGCACACACTGGCCCCTTATCTTCTCCTGAATGTTTTAAAAGCATCAGCACTCCCATAACTTTTCTTCTCCTTGACTGTCTTTTTTTGATTCCCTACCAACAGATATGACTCATCTTTCAAAGGGTACCCTAACATCCCCTCTCCCCTGCCATTTGCCCTAACCTCTCCCCACATCCTGAAAGCAGAAGCAGTCATGTCTTCTGCTGCGTTTTGTTTAGACCTGTCCCAGGGAGGCTTTGAACGTGCTCTATGTATGGCAGCTTATTGTCTTCCGACTGTCTCTGCACCTAGAGAATGAGGAGCTGGAGGGCAAGTGTGGAATCACACACATCTCTACTCTTCAGTGTAAATCACAGAGTCTGACAACGGTACGTGCTTAATTTCTCTTTGAAAGAAAGATCCAAAACAGATTGAAAAGAAATCCCAAAACTAAGGGAGGTAAAGCTTTGAATGGAAGATTTTAGATACTCAAACCTTTCTTTCCAATTTTCTTTCAGATCCTCAAATAAAAGGAAGATAACACAGAGCGGAGGCTCCAAGCCTGCAGACATGCTGATGTATTTGTACTGCCAATTTAATTGTGAATTATTAATTACCAAACAGGTACAGGGCAGGTCAATTCCAAACAAACCTGAGCTGAGCTGATGGCAAAGGAGAATTATGGCAAATGCTGAATTCAGACGATTTTGCAGCTTGGAGTTTTATGCTGCTGAGACCTTACAGGTAAGTCTTTTCAAGGAGAAGCCATGAGTAACAAGTAGAACATTTGAGCTCTTAATCTACATTAGCAAATAAATAAAAATTGCCTATCTTATAAATCTGCCATATTTGGGATTATTTCTGCATTAGGATTTGGCCTGAAATTTCAGTGCACATATTTTACCCAAATACATGCTGGGGAAAAATAGCGTACATTTTAGCTACACTGCATTCTCTTGAGAAAAATGTTCTACCTGTTTTTTTTCTTTTTCCTATATTTTCTAGCTTGTTAAAAAATAGTTCTGGGCTTAGAAATGTCAATACTTTTTTCACTTCTGTAAAGCAACAACTCGAGTGCAACTTCCAAAATATTCTCAAAATAATGTCTGCTTCAGCTGGAACTGTTAGGCCATCTGAAGTTTTTTGTCTTAATTTTTTTTTCAGACCCTAAAGGCTCCCTAATAGTAAGTTACACACAGCTGGGGAAAGCACATTCATTGAATGGAGGCAGCTATGATGCCTCAGGATAGAACTCAGCACAGCCACCAACTCAGAACTGTTCTTTCCACAGACATCGTACCTCATCCGATAGTGTGAAGGATGCTGGATTAAGAGATATGTAAAACTCCATGGATGCTTAGCATGTCATCCTCATTGCTCAGGTGCTCAGTCTATGTTACCCATGAGGAAAGAGCTTCCTGAAGTAGGATCACAAAGGCTAACCGAGACGTTCCTACTAAGCCCAGGTAGTGTTGTGTGCCATCCTCTGTAGCTCCGTCATGTTCTCTGTCATTTTCTCCAAGGAGGAAAGATAAGTACAGTGTTAGGGTGTGGATCACTAACAGAAAAGGAAGTGCAGAGGATGAACTGGCAGAAAGGGAAGTTCTTTCTCTTCTTAATTACAATATCCTTAGAAACTAACATTAATAAGCAACTTTGTTGTTTTCAAATTCCTTGTTTATTGAGATAAACAAGCTCCTTACAAATGGTGAGATAAATCAAATAAATATTCTCACCATTAATATTGAAGAAACTGAGGCATGAGGAGATAAATTGATCAAAATTATAGGGTCAGTCAACAAGAGTTCCTCTCACTGTATTATGATTCCTCTTTGTTTATTGTTGACCAATTCCCCAAACAAAATTTCCATCCACAAGCCTTCACGTGTTTGTGTACTCTGCTTCAAATGTCTTCCCAGAGCATCTTCCCTCACAGCACCTGCCATGATGAACAAAAACATCCCATTCAAGTCAGCGCCCCCTGCACACTGCAGGCCACAACACGAGAGGCCTATTTTCACTGTCCTTGTTTCCCCAGGGCCATGCATGCTGCTTGCCAAGGAAGGTATTCAATACTTTTAATGTAAATTTAAATCTGAGTTGAATTCCGCAATATCACTACAACTCTACCCTTGTGTCCATGATGACTTTGTGAAGAAAGGAACACTTGGGGATAGCTTTTAAATGCTTCTCCATATTTTGGCAGGTGATCTTTGTTTAATTTTTAGATGAGTATCTGTAGCAAATGCATCTATACATATTGCTACTGCTTGTAAATATACATATAAACATAAAGAAATGAATAATAACCTTACCTGACATGCCCAAATTACTCAAAGGAAATGGTAGGACCCACAGAGTTTAACTAAAGGATAATAAATAGCACAGTGTGTCATCTGTGCAGACACTATTGAGCTTCCCCTACTGGTGCCGTAGGTATCTGCTTATCTTTTCACTGATGGTGGTGTTTTACAATAGGGCCTTTGCATAGATTGTGCAGAGGGTTAAATGCACAACTACGGTAACTTCAAAATGTGGTCATTTTGGATAGATGATAGACGGGTAATAGCTAGGCAGAAGAAAGATCAATATAGATAGAAATATAGAGAGACAGATGATATATTGACAGAAGTTGGGTAAGTATGTGGGTAGACAGAAAGAGATAGATGATAGATAGATAGATAGATAGATAGATAGATAGATAGATAGATAGATAGATAGATAGATAAACAGATAGATGACAGATAGATGGAGATAGAAATTCCACAGTTATCTTTTAAATATGTTGCTTCTGCCTAAAACGTCCCACATGTGCCCCTTGATAAAGATGGAAGGCCTAAAACTTCTTAACAGGATTTACAAAACCATTTGTTTTGCAGTCCGTCCAAAACATAACTTCTAGGTCCTTCTCTAAAGCCTCTCTCCAGAGCTCCATCATCCTCTCAACTTTGTACCTTTATACACACAATTTCCTCTGCTTGGAAAACCCATTCCCACACCTGTGCCATCTGATCCACCCACTCTCCAGTTCTCAACTCACATTCAGAGCTTACTTGTGATGTCTGAGTCACCCTTTCTCTCCCCAAGACATTCTTGTCTATGCCTTTATCATACCATTTATCTTTGCAACTGAGCTATCACATGGACAGGATCTGTGATAGGTACCCTCGTATTCCTATTATACACACAATGACTGGCATGCAGTAACATCTTCTTTATCCCTGTAAACATAATGTATGAGTGCATGGGTTTCTAAATTCAGTATCTGATAATGTGTCAAGTGTTTCCCATCCAAGAGACTGACACTTGCTCTATCCTCTCCCTGAAATCCTCACCATCCTATTCTTCACGTGTGTAATTTTTTTTCTGGGCTCAGTTTTAATGTTACTTCCTTGGAGAAGTCTTTGCTAAGGATCCCAGTCCCCTGTCCCCAATATCTAATTCAGGTCCTCTTGTTACAATCTCTCCTCAACCTTTACATTTTCTTGTATAATACATACATAGTTTTGGGCTTTTATATCCACGTATATGACTATTT